GAATAGAACGGGGCCGGTCATTATAAGCTGTATTTGGCCCACTTCCAATCCAAATACAGCGATAATGATCGGGCGTCCTATTCGGGTGAAGACGGTAGGACTTTGTCTACCAAGCTCTGGACGTTACTGCGGTCTGATTCATCCACGTCTGGCCGTAGATGCGGTCAAACACATTTCAGTAAGTACTAGTGTGAGTATATGCCCTCAGGAGCCCGACGGCATGCCTCACGGTACCACTTTTTCGGTTGTTTGATGGTTACATCGTTCAAATACAGCCCGGAAAGTCTCTAATCCGAGGAGATCTGCCCTGTAGGCAGGGAGGCACGGAGAGCCGACTTCATACATCCATTCATCCGTCCGTCCATCCATCCAACGTCTTTTTTTGGGTCATCTTCGGTAACTGGCGGTCCTCGGCTTCGCGTTCCCCGAGTGGTGCGAAGGAATTTCCTAAATTCGCATCTCGGGATCATACGTACCTTTGCCACAAGATGGGCGGGCAGAGATAGTTCCAACGAATGAACACTGCAAACGATACTCTGTTGCATAGGCAGATTAAAAAAAAAAAAAACAAAAAAAAAAGAGCCGCCAATTCGAACGAAATACACTCGGGGGGAAAAAAGAAGAAATACCCTCTCGACCAGAAGCTGCCAACCCCCCGATGATGAGTAGCGATAGACTAATTGTCGTAGGGCACTTGAAACAAAAAGTTAAGAAAACATTAGCAACACCCAGTCCTTCCTTCTTTCCCTCCTTCCTTCATTCATTCATTCATAGGAAGTGAAACGGCTGGTGCTTCGCGTCACACGTACTCGAGACTATACTTCATTATTATTCGCTAAATTTTGATTTTACTACCCCAATAATTATTATTCGTTAAATTTTTTTTACTCCGTCAGTAATTATTATCCGCTATTGCGCCAATAATTCGTCCTAATGCGTGTATGCGGAGGATATGAAGCCCTTGGCGGAGCCTTCCGATACTTCATCCCCAGACAGGGAACAGAGCTCCCCTCCCCGTCAGCCATACCAGCCTCACATACCGAAGACGACGGAAGAGGAGGGTAAGAAGAAGAAAGGCCCAAAAGAGTCAACACCCCCCCCCAAAGAAGAAAGAAAACACAAACACAAAGGGGGATAAAAAGACAGTAAGAATATTGAAGAGCTCGCACCTTTGAAAGAAAATCAGAGAACGTATGAAAAGAACAATTGCCCTACAGCGATCCTTGGCTCGTCGTCGACCCGGCTTCGCAAACGGTGTGGTTTCGCCATTCAACTCTTCTTCGTTTATTCCTCTCACCTTCTCTCACCAATAGAGCGCAGGAGAAGAGATCATGGAGACGCCTTTTTTTTCTTTTGCATTTTTCTGGCAGTGCAGTCGGAGGGTAGAGAAAGCGGTTTTTGCCGCTTGTTTTGAGCAGAATTTGCTTATGGAGAGAGAGAGAGAGAGAGTGAGAGAAGGTAAACAACTCGTCATATTTTCTAACGTGGAGAGAGAGAGAGAGAAGGTTACATACTGGAACGTGTTAATACAAATCTTCACAGTGCAGTCGGAGGGTGGAGAAAGCGGTTTGCCGCTTGTTTTGTGCAGAATTTTCTTGTTTTCTGACACCCGAAATTCTATTTTTCTACGCCGCGGAAACTTTCCAACGTTTAGAGAAGGRGGGGGGGGGGGGGGGGRGGGCGCGGAGGGTAACCACCGTGTTTAGCACAAAAGGCGCCTTCCGATACAGTCAGACTTGATGGAAAAAGAAAAAAAAACGCGTCTTCTTCACAGGACGGGGTAAAAGAACTCAATCTCCCTGTGGATTGGAAGACAGCATGATTGGTGCCCCGGAGGGCAGGGAAGGGAGAGCTACTTTCACGAGCAGAACACCTTCATTGCCTGGTATAGAATCTTCCCCACGTGACTCCTCCCTTTCGTCCGTCACTGCCAGCTGGCACTTGGGCGGTTGGTGCATTAGCAGAGCCAATTCATCAAAGGGTGGTCGACTTCGAGCGGGAGAGATTGTATTCCGCGTCTTTTGACTATATATGCATTGATTTTCAAAACGCCGAAGGATATCAATTTGTTGGGGGTGGTAAATATAGTAGCGCGAACACACGTACACCCAAAAAAGAGAAGCGGAAACGTGTATACACCCCAAACAAAAGAAAACCGCGCTGCGCTGCCGTTATCGAACTCCCAGAGCGTTGCGCGCCTTATTTTCTCTCTCTGCGTTCCTGAATTTTGCTGCACATCTGATTTTCGGCTCCCGCCTGAATTGTAGTGCTCGGCTTGTATTATAATACTACGTTTTGGTTTCCCCGCCTCCCTCTCTCTCTCTCTCTCCCCCTCCCCCCCCTCTTCTCCCTCATATACTTCTGCGCAAGGGCACGCGAGGTAGAGACAACGGAGCAGTGCACATACAGATCCCCTTCAGTTTGCAATGATAATCGGATTGACACCCGAATCATTGGCGGACGCACAAGACGACATCATCCCGCTAGGACTTCCAATGATGTATCTGACCGCATTTACATCGACTACGCCCTGAATCTGATCGCATTCACGCACATCTCCGGTCAACGTAATCTCATTGTGTGCATACACCATCTGAGACGTGCAACGAAAAATGGATGGAAACTAATAGGATGCACTGCCTCGGCAAACCGAAACCAGTACGGCCCTGCCAATCTCTCAGCAGCATAAGAACGATCCATCCCCTCCTGCCCCCCCCTTTCCGCCTCCCCCCCCCCCCCACCGGTAAATGGCCACAAGGACTTCCAATGATGTATCTGACCGCATTTACATCGACTACGCCCTGAATCTGATCGCATTCACGCACATCTCCGGTCAACGTAATCTCATTGTGTGCATACACCATCTGAGACGTGCAACGAAAAATGGATGGAAACTAATAGGATGCACTGCCTCGGCAAACCGAAACCAGTACGACTCTGCCAATCTCTCAGCAGCATAAGAACGATCCATCCCCTCCTGCCCCCCCCTTTCCGCCTCCCCCCCCCCCCACCGGTAAATGGCCGCAAGGACATGCATGCCTGAGCTAAACGGCTGTGCACGGGTTTTACCATTTCTGCTCTCGGCATAATTCGAAATATACTTTGTTAATGTACTCGATCAGATCCTCCCCGCTTCCTCCAACCCGGGCGGGGGCAATGACCAGTAACCGCGGGAATAACTTGCATGGATGTGAATCTACCCGGATTTGTATGTGTTATACTCGCGCGCTACTAATAATCGTGCTCTATTTTTCGATTGCCCGCACGATGTACTCTATTCAACAATTCCTTTGCTCCTATTCGAAAGGAACTTTGATGAGGAAACAAGAGAAAGAAGGAAAGGGGAAGACCAGAAAAACACAAATGATTTAAGAAAATCACGCTGTGAACAACCCTGGTGCAACCTAGCGACACCAGCCGCGGGGGGGGGGGGGGGGAGAACAGGCAAAGAATGCAGGCAGGCTTCGCAACCCTCCAGGCGGCAAGCAGGGTTCGGGGATTATTATCGATGAATCTATCTACCCGGCTCTCTCTCCTTCCATTACCCTTCGTGGCCATAGCCCCCAGGTTTGCTGACCATTCGTTAGGCTCCGTCCGGAATTCCGAGTGGCACGGACGACAGTGAACGACCACCCCAACAACAGCATATCACTTTATGATGGGCACATTCACTAATATACGAAAAACAAGAAAGGGACTAAATTGCCAAGGCGCTTGGCGAAATAAAAAGTAATACCCTTGCCACCGCTGCACAGACTGGAGAATTCGGAAGCCGAGTTCCGGTCCTCTGCGCACAGCCACCGTCTTCCACCGAACTCGAGGCACACGCATCATTATGTCTGTATCTGACCGGAAAGATAGCTTGTACACATTCATCATCAGGGCACATTGCGTTCCAGGGAAGACGGATTTTAGTCATCCACCCAAAGTGCTGGCTGCCTCCCTCGAGGCACACGCAGCATTATGACTGTATCCGACCGGAAAGATAGCTTGTATACATCCACGAGTGCGACCAGCTCAGAAAGCCACCACCAAGAACGAAGGGCGACGGAACTGACCAGGTGCCTGTCGGACGTCACGACAGTATTCCGAATTCAGAAAAAAAAAGTAAGAACAGAAGGAAAAAACACCGACTAAAATAATAGGCATCCAGAGGACAGAAAGATGAGAGGCAGGAAGACGAAGGCGGCCATAAGAAATGGGGTGGGGCACGAAGGAAAAGGGGAGGGAAGACAGGGAGGGAACAAGGCCAGGACAAAAACGGGAGGTCGGAGGAGAGGAGGGCGGGCGGTGAGGAGAACGAAACGGCGGGACAGGAAACGAATGAGAGGCCTTTTGGGAGGGTGAAAGGGGAGGGAGGAGAGAGGGGGGGAAGGGAGAGGGGTGAGAGAGATGGACAGCGCAGAAAAGAGCAAACGATTCAGAGGAGAGACGACGTGCAGGAGAGAGGGAGGGGGGAATTCATCAAGGGGGCGAGAAACCGCGATCAGGGCATACTCACACTAACGCCTTCCTACATGTATCTGATTGCAATTACGGCCAAACCTCGATGAATCTGGCCGCAATCATGTCCAGAGCGTAGCAGAAAAAGCATGCCCTCAGAGAGAGCAGAAGCGGCCACCGTCTTACACGATGAAGGTGGGAGACGAGTAGGTAGGTAACTCACTCGAAGAAGCATTCGGAAATTAATTATTAATTAATGAGGAAAGGGATTTCCGCAAGAAAAAAGGAAAAGAAAACAGAAACACGAATGAGATGAAGACCCGGACGGTAGGGAACACACACAACATCGAGGGTGGGAAACGACAACAAGTAAGGCAGCGGCCAGCACGACGGGTGGGGAGAGGTAAGAAAAACGTTTTTTTTTTTGGTGGGGGGGGGGTTAAGAGCGAGAGGGAAAAATACTGGAGCGGGCAATGGCGAGCAGGGGAGAGGTAGCAGAATGGCAGGAAGAGGAGACAGGGGAGAGAATAATATAAGTGCTAGTAAGGAAACCTCACCTGCGGGCGTCGTCGTTGATCGCACATGTAGTGCATCAACCTCCGTGTGCAGATGCCCGCTTCCGGAGGAGGAATCTTCCCGACAGGTGTTGTCATTGATGTTGTCAATCCTCGAGAGAGGCCGCCTAGAGCTAAATGATGTTGCTGCTGCTGCTGCTGCTGCTGCTGCTGCTGCTGTGCTTTCTGCTGGGCAGCATGCAGTTGAAATTGATGCTGCGCCTTTTGCTGCTGCTGCAGTAGCTGAAGCTGCTGCTGCTGCTGCTGCTGCTGCTGTTGCAATTGCTGCTGATGCAGAAGTTGTTGCTGCTGATGATGATGATACGGTTGTTGCTGTTGTTGCTGCTGCTGCTGAAGCTGTTGCTGCTGCTGGGCTTTCTGGTCTTGTTGACTTTTATGCTGCTGCTGCTGCTGATGTTGCTGTTGTTGTTGCTGCTGTTGTTGCTGCTGCTGTTGCACTTGTTGTGCTTGCGCCTGAGCCTGCTGAACCGCCGCCTGCTGATGAGTGCGTTGTTGTTGCTGCTGGTGGTGCTGCTGCTGCTTCTGTTGCTGGTGTTGTTGCTGTTGCTGCAACAGCTGGACGGTGGCCAGCTGTTGATGATGCAAAAGCAAACGCCTATGCTGGGACAACAGGTGTTGGCTTTGAGCGGCAGCAGCGGCAACAGCGGCAGCAGCGACGGAAGATTGCTGCTGCTGTTGCTGCTGCTGCTGTTGCTGCTGCTGCTGCTGTTGCTGCTGCTCCTCTTGCTGCAGTTGATGCTGCAGTTGATGCTGCTGTTGCTGCTGGTGATTCTGTCCCTGTACCACAGCCGTCATCCCTTGCTGCTCCTGCTGCTTCTGCGGCTGATCTTGCTGCTGTTGCTTTTGGGAGGAATTCCCATTAGCCAGTTGGCCGACAAGTTGACCCGCGCTGGTCTGTCCACTCTGCTCGGCCGCCGCTGCTTGCGCTGCAGCTTGCTGCGCCGCCGCCTGCACCTGCGCTTGCTGCTGCTGCTGCTCTAGCGCCGCCTGCTGATGCGCCTGCTGCTCTAAGTGCTGCTGCGCTGCCACGTGTACCGCAGCCTGATGAACTGCTGCTCTCTGCTGCCCTTGCTCCTGCAACCTCAGCAGCAGCAACGTATCCGTCACTGGCTGCCGCGGTAGCCCCCCTCCGCCCGTCGCTGCTGCCGTCCCCCCCCCGCCTCCCACGGCCCCCCCAATCCCGCTCCCCCCCCCTGGTCCATACTGCAGGTGCCCTCCTGTCGCCAAAGACCCTCCGTTCAGCGCTGCCGCCGCCGACTGCAACGCTGCTGCATTCGTCAGCGTCTCTGCCGGGAATGTCACTCCCCGTGTCAACCCTGGCGAGCTCAGCAACTGCTGCGACGGCAACGTGATAGCCCCCGACGAAAAACTCGGCAGGTTCGACAGCAGAGGCAGCGACAAATTCGTCAGCGAATGTCGGAGAGAGAGTGCCGCCAACCCCCCCCCGGCCCCCCCTTGGGGGGTCGTTGTCTGGCAGGGAAGGGGTACTGATGGCGGATAAGTGTGAGACAATGACGTGGACCGGAGGAGAGCGGGCGGAAGGGAGCCTGCCACCGGCACGGGCGCCGTTGGCGTCGGCGTGCCCGCCCGGTGGCTGGCATCCAGAAACTGCTCCAGCTCGAAATCTCTCTTTGAGGGAGGGTGATGTTCTCAGCAGCAGTTCATCAAGGTGCCCTGCACCACTTCCCCCCCTCCTCCCTACCTGCAGCTCCTCCCTCGTCCCGCTCCCTCTCCCACTCGCTTCGCTACCCAATCAAGTCCTCTAGCTCTCCGGAGAGTGCTGCATTTACCGATGAAGGACTTCGGCACAACAGCTGTTCCGTCCTTGCATGCCGCCTTCCTCCTCCCCCGCGTCCTCCTCCACCTGCTCCCCCTCTTTGCATGTCCCGCAGGCAGCAATCAGCCAATCCACTCGATAATCGCTCTCTCGTCTCTACCCTGTCGTTATCGTCCGCAATAGACAACCGGCCAAGCTGCCACGTGGCACGTCCATTTACACCGATGCCCACCCCTTGGCTCGACGAGACCTGCTAACCATCGGACGTGAGCCCGGAGCCGAATAACAGGTCAATAATCCCTCAATCTTCCCTCCTCCCTACGCACCATTCCTCTCTCTCTCTCTCTCTCTCTCTCTCTCTGTGTCTGTCTCTCTCTCTCTGTGTGTGTGTCTCTGTGTGTGAATGCTCGCGCTCTCGTCAGCGGCAACGCAAATCCAACAGGATCTGCACATACATTTTCCTTTGCCGCCTTACAACTCTATCTCAGCGCATGCTCCTGCCGTTTCCCCAAGTCCGGCCCTCCACTCCACTCCTCTCTCCCCTTCTCTCCCCCCCCTTTCACCTTGGGCGTCCTCAGCACGAATGCAGAACAAAAACCGTACTGCTACACAGGGGAACCACCCGCCGCCCTCTGTCCTTGCAGGATGACTTCGTCGACATCCCACCCCTTCACCTCCTCTCAATGGTGCCCAGTCTGATGGCCCACCCACCTCACCCACCTTTCTCCAAACTCGTGCGTCACTCGCCCGTTTGTACGCCACTCGACCGTTAGGCTGGCCCCGTCGTTCAAAAGCCAATGTCAGTGTCACGAGAACCCCACCCGACAGTAACGTTCGAAAACGACCATTCCATTCCAACCCGTACTCGCGGGTGGCAGAGATGTTCGTCCCCTGACCATAAACAAACCGACCGCAATTTATATTTCCCCCTCTATTTCTCCCTCCCTCCCTCCCCTCCCATCTCACCACCGCGAGGATGCCCCCTCCTTACCTTCCTCAATTCCGCATCCACGAAACTCGAACATCCAACCACCGTTCTACAAATTTGAGGATCGCGACGGAGCTTCGCCTGTAAGCCGCGCAGGGGAGGTAAGAAGTTGTCGGTCACGGATGCCGGTCACTCTGTCGACAAGGCAGACTCTGAGGCCGTCGGAGGCTGGTCCACCGCGCGGCAAATACCTCCAGCAAAACCCCACTCCGAAAAAACCCGCCTAGAGACCAGAAGCAAACGGATAGATCGGTGTGGACGTGGTCAGAAGGGCTTCACAGAGTATTCTGAACCTTTCCACAAACACGTTCACGTTCAGATTCAGGCGTCTAATCTCTGGCAACACGACACCCCTGTGGCGATCGGTCTTCTGAAAATTCTATCTACAAGACCACCGCATCATCTTCCTTCCTCGTACAGTGTTTCGCCGGAAACCATTCCTGTTAGGAACACCCAACGATGCTAGTAATAGGGAGATATGCCGTGCAGTGGGAGTGATGAGAGCCCTGCAGTGCATGGAAGAAGATTAGAATGAGCAGCAAAATAGTACATCGTACAGCAAACTATTTTACAGTCGCGAATGAAGAGCATCCGGCGAGGAAGGATGGCAGAAGAGCGCCAGAGGAAAACAGGTGACCGCAGGAGGGAATGACTGGCAGAGACAACTTCACCTACATCGCCGGGGGGGGGGGGGAACCGACGATGCACACGCACGCGGGCGCGCGCACACACGCATGGAGCGAACACTAATTGACAGGTGGAGAGGACACTAATGGACAGAGCAGCGCCTACGCTTCTACTTGCTTGACAGGCACGGACATTGTCGCCTGCTCTTCGTGCCTGGATTCTCTGGCGACGACCTTGATAACACGGGCCACCGACCTGCTTCGTCTCAGACAACCCGAGGGGGAAGTAGCAAAACCTGCCAACGCCACGGCGGACATTGACACGCTGAGAGAGAGAGAGAGAGAGAGAGAGAGAGAACGAGCGAACGAAGAGGGGAAGCGCTGAGGATGAGAGGAGATTCGTTGGGTCGGAGAAAGCGGAAGAGCCGGCTCGGGCGTGTGGAATAGTCCGCCTTTCCTGCGGGAAAACCAGCCGAACGCAGCTCGCTCGTGGGCGTATGTGCGTGCGCGATGGCACTCAACCGGTGGGCCCGCGGAACATTGTTGACGGACCCCGGACTCTATGAGGGCGTTCAGTTCCGCGAGCTCCCGCCCAACAGGTCGTTCGACGGACAATAGACAGTACACCCTCTCTCTGTCTCGTAGACAGTTCACCCTCTCTCTTTCTCCCTCTCTCCTTACTACTACGGTGCAGACGCGACAAAGATATTACAATATTATAGATTGGATTATGATCGCATCACATAACATTAACATCACATCGCATTGCTGAGAAATGCAGTTGACGATGACGAGTAAGTCCGCGAAAAGCGCGCTCCCGAAAGCCCGGGATGCAGGCTCGGCTTCCCGGCCACGAACACCCCCTCCCTCCTTCCCGCTCCTCCCTGTGTACTATTTCTTCCCGTCCCTCCCTACCCAACACCCACGTCCTTTTCCCCCCACCCTCCCCTCGACCCCCTTGCAATGCCGTTTGCCCGCTTGTCGGTCTGTTCTGCCTGCCGCTTTCGCCCTCGCTCCTCCCCTTCCTTCCCTGCCTGCCCACCTGCTTGCCTGCCCAAGCGCCTTCCTCTCCCTTCTGCCTCCCTCCCTGCCTGCCGGTCTCCCCCGACTCCGCGCGACGATCGCCACACACATATGCACGAGTGGACGATCAACACCACACAGGCAGGTCGAGAGCGTGCGCCCTTCCGCACCCGCCTATGCGGAGCGGATGTCGCGCAGCCCGCGGAAGACCGGTCCGAAAACAACACGTCCGTGGCGTTTGTGCCGGGCCAAGGTAGACACATTTTCCCGACGATGAGAGCTTCGGCCGTCGCTGGAGAAGACAACAAGGCAAAAGAAAAAAGGGGAAAAAAAACAAAAAACAAAAGAACGAACATTTACGTTGTGGTGCAGCCCCTCCTCCTCTTCCATTACTGTTGTATTGTACGATACCATCCACCCTGTCTCGAGAAATCCACTGCTCTCAAGGCTGCCGAGAGATCCGGCCCTTCCGCTACTCACAGTTTTTCTCAGCGTGGCGCGCGGTCCCCGGTCACAAGCGCGTGTGCGTGGGCGCGCCCTTTCCGGTAGCCATCGCGCGCGAGACCGATTGCCAGCGGGGGCCTGGTCCCACTAGTAAAGTGGATTGGATTGAATTCCTGAATCCGGACTCGTTTTGCGCAGATGCAGAAAAGCAGATTAATCGCAACTTTCTGAATCTCTCCACAAACACGTCCAGATTTCGGTATTAAATCATTTCTTCTCTGCTGATGGGACCAGTCCCGGGGAAAGGTCGGAAGGGGGCACCAACGGGCCTCGCTGTACACCCCTGAACTGTGGAAATAAAGAGCCGAGTTCAAATCCGCTCTACCACACAAGAGAAATTTGAGGAGACACTAAAGCACATGGCCAAGGGCAAAGCCCCCGGTAGACATGGTATTCCAGTAGAAGTGCGCCAACAACATGGGCGGGTTCTCATCCCTCATTTGGTCGTCATTTACAACGAAATTCTTACAGGCGGACACATCTCTGCAGGTATGGCACATGGCATAATCACAGTGTTGTACAAGAAAGGAGACAAGGTCGATATCAGGAATTGGCGCCTATCTCCCTTCTTAAACCACAGGTCCCCCCGCCACCGAAAACCCTCGGACGACCTCTAGTGCGCGGTCGCTGTTTTTTGGTCAAACGACCGGTTTTTCGCGGCCTACCGAGTCCCATCCCGACATGCCGTTTTCAATGTGGGACCCGATAGGCCCGGTGGTAAGGAAAGACGTCGTTGCAGCACGATGTCCGTGTTCACGGATCCGGACAAACGAAAAGAAACAAAAAAAAAAAAAAAAAAAAAAAAACTTCAGGAATGAAGTTGGTTTTATTATTTTATTTTATTCATTTATTTCCCTTTTTTTTTGCTTTTGTTTTTTGGGTAAGTGTTTTGCATTTCTTTTCAGAGTGTTTTCACTTTCGTTCTGCAATGTTTTTTT